TCTTCTTATCTGCCCCAGTTACTGTGTCTTTTTATGTGTTAAACAAGGCAAGTGTCCACTTTCCTGGGAATGAATGCAATTGTGAGAAGCCTATCAAGCACCTTGAGGAGTGTAAAAATTCACATTCCATTAAGATTATTTGTGCATGAATACTACTTATAAGCCACAAGGTGACTCCGGAGATGATTTCTACCGCAGTGCTCATCTTTAAGCAAATGTTTAAGGCTTCAAGGCACACACAAGTGATCTACACCAGCAAATCCAATATACACCTTTCATAATCCTCTCGTTTTTTTCCACTCAAGTGCCCAAGACAGATACTAAGCTGAATCTCCCGACTCCCCCCCCCTCTCCTTTCCTGGGTGCTGAGAACGCCATTCTGATTAACATCTGCATCTGCAGCCAGTGGGCTCTTTGTTGTCAGTGAGAAGCCTGAACAAACACACCCCGGAATGACTTAGCCCCCTGCTTGTACTCCAGATTAAATACTGAATACTGATCGAGTTTACCACGATCTGAACAAGCAACGAAAGAATTTTCATGTGATCATGATGCTGGGCGATAGTATTTTACAGAAAGGGGGTTAAACCATGCCTGGTTTGCCGTTGAACAACATGTTGGCCTTTAGGTCACAGGCTAAAGGTGGCAACAGCTTTACCTACTACCAAATTTGGCTGACTTCTGCAGCAGGGGAAGGGATTCTGAGCACACAGGAATGCTCTCCTCTCCCCCTTCCTCCCGGGCCATTTAAAGCCCTACAGCAGGGGTGTTGAACTCATTTGTTATGAGGGCCGGATCTGACATGAGACCTTGTTGGGCCGGGCCACATGCATCATAAAAGGTAACGCCAGGCAGCAGAGAGATAAACTTTATAAAGGACACAAACACAAAGGGTTGTTTTTTTTTACTAAAAATAAAAACATGCTTAAAACATTATTCTGGAACAGCCTCCCCAAGGAGGTTTGCCTTTTGACCTTTAGGAAGCAGATGAAGCCTTTGACAACATATTGAAGACGGTTTCATTTAGGAGTGCATTTGATTGAGTTTAGTAGCAGTCCTTGATGATTTTAAAATATTGGTTTTATATTTTAATTAATTTCATTTGATGTATTTTAGCTGGGCATGGAGCTCTGCAAGGTTAATAAAAGATTTAAATAAATAAGAAATGTGTTTCTCTCGCCAGGCCATCACAGCAATTGCTTGGAGCTTCACCAGCAGCAGGGGGGTGCCTGACTGCATTCAAAGCATCCTGACTTTACAGAAACAGCTGCCCCGCTTCCCTTCTCGCTGCCAGTGGCCTCTGAAAGCTGAAGCTCACAACAGGCAACAAGAACGAGCCTTCCCGTGCTCTCTCGATCATCCCTGGCTCTTGAGACACACACTGAAGATAGCGCAGGAGACACTGAAGGACGATGGATTTCAATCTCCCTGGCCATTCGAGTTCAGATAGAAAAACTGGTGTAAAGCATGATGCAAATAGTTTTTTCTCTCTCTGAAGAAGAAGAGGAGGAGGAGAAGAGATTGGATTTATACCCCGCCCTTCACTCGGAGTCTCAGAGCGGCTTACAAACTCCTTTCCCCTCCCCTCCCCACAACACCCTGTGAGGGAGGTGGGGCTGAGAGAGCTCTGGGAGAACTGCTATTTCAAGAACAGCTTTGGGAGAACTCTGGCTTGCCTAAGGTCATCCAGCAGCTGCAAGTGGAGGAGTGGAGGAGTGGGGAATCAAACCCGGTTCTCCCAGGTTAGAGTCCACGTTCCTATCCACGACACCAAACTGAAACTTAATTGCAAATTAAATAGGAAACAGCAAGAGTCCAGTAGCCCTTTATAGACTAACAAAATTTGTGGAAGGGTATGAGTTTTTGTGAGACACTGGTTGGTTCTGAAGCAGTGGGCTCACGAAAGCTCACTCCCTGCCAAAGATTTTGTTAGTCTTTAAGGTGCTCCTGGACTCTTGCCCTTATCTACTGTGAAAAGAAACCTGTTTGTATGCGGTGTGGAGGTTAAGGGAAAAAGAGGAAGCCATATACACTTTTCCTGAGATTGTCCTCTGCCAATGGGATTCATGCTTTCTACAGAAAGGGTTGCTGCAGCTTTAAGCTGTGTGTGAGTTGCACCATCAGGTCTGTAGACTCTGTTTCTTAAGTGTGTGGAGGGAGGGGGGGATGAGGAGACAGCACTCTACATATGCTCAGAGGTACTTTGCAATTCCAGCTGAAGAATTCTGAGCCACTGACTGACGTTGAGCGAAGTCTCTTGTTGCTGGGCTGCAGTACTGCTCAGCGCCCATCCGCGGGAACCCTGCCCTCCAAATGGCACCCGGGCAAAGCAGGACGTATTTGTGCGTTCCAGAGGGAAGCTGTTGGGGTCCAGGAGCACCTCAGAGACCAACCGGATTTCTCGGGCTATGAGCTCTCGAGACTCCCCGTTCCTGAAGGCAGCGCTGACTCCAGACAGCTCATGCCCTGAGAGGTCTCTCGGGTGCTGCTGGACTCAAATCCGTGCGTGTGCGTGTGTGTCTGTGTGTGCGCGCAGGTCATAGAGAGGCCATATATGAAGGAGGGATTTCTTTGCTCACGATTCGCTCTCTAATGGGCCAGCCACTGAAAGCCCTTCCTACTATTAGCTTGCATTGCAACTATGTCCTCGGGAGCTTTCAAAACTGCTCACGCACCTGACCCTAACGACCCTTTCAAGAGTCTTGTAACCAACGCTCCCTCTAAACTGTGGAGTCTTGGGAGCAAAAATTGTACTTTGGGAGCTACTGGCATTAAAGTTGTGAGTGAACGATTTGGCTGCTGCATAAATTAGTTTGCTCTGGAGCCGTCCTTCCTGAGCTAAGACAAAAATGCATGAGCTGGAGACTAAAAAACTGTGAGCTAGCTCACACTAAGTCAGCTTAGAGGGAACACTGCTTGTAACGTAGGCCAACACCGAGGCTGAAAGAATACCAACTTCCCTAAACCCATTAGGTCAAGAGACAGTCCTGCAGTGGGGTGTGTGGGTGTGTGTGTGTGTGGGTAAGGATCAGAACTTACAGCTTTCGAGGCTTTCATTAAGTGTGATCAAGCTGTACGTTTTTGCAGGTTAGCTGTAGCCCGTTTGGGCCGAGCATTAATTAAAAGCACCTGGTGGCCTTGACCAGCAGGCATAAGATGCTTTTACCTGGTTGCCAGCTAGCAACAGGGATTAACCAACTATGCCCTGATTGGCTACGGGGGCCATGGGGGGGGTGGCTGACAAAAGGGAGGTGCTGGGACAGTCTAGGGGGGCTAGCTAGCTATCAGGATGGCGGCGATACCAGAGAAGACCCAGGTCAAGGCCTCGGTGACTTCAAGTCAGAATACCAAGGACCGTTCCAGTCAAAACTCTCTTTCTTATGCCTCCGGGTGAGAAAGTCAGGTTGTAAGATTACCCCACAGAGGGAAGTCTGCAAGTATTTAATGTTTCAGAGACTTGGCCTCTGCCCAGCACAAGCAGTAGTTTTTCCTTTTGCTATTGTTGTGGTTTTGAGAGTGATTCCTGCTTAGCAAACACTCTTTATTACTTCAATGACTGAATAAATGCAGAAGCAGTTTTAATCTGCTGCGTCGGGAGTATTTGCTGAACGCCACTTACATCCTCAAGGGAACCCAGAAGCTAAAAAGCCTCAACAAAGGACCAGGACTCAGTGCGACCCCAAAGGGCCCCAAGGTGGCAGCCAGTTCAGCGCCTGAGAACGGGAGAGGGATTCTCCTTGGTCCAGATAGGGGGGTTTAATGATTCACCACAGCTAATTCCCTTCGGAAGTTCACTGTGTTTCCCTGTGGAACTATGAATCTGAGATACAAATGCTACCGTTGTTAGATGTGACCTCCCCTTCTGCAATGAAGCAGAGGGTGAGTCAGACTTGTTGACTTTCACCCCCTTCGAGTTTTGAATGTGTGAGAGGATCAGAGGCTGTCATTTTTGGACAAGTGATCTTGTAAGGATCCCAGTGCTTCCTCCTTAGCTAGCCAGCCTTGGTTCAAAATCAAGTTTGGCACTTCGGAGCACACCCTCAGCAGCTGTCCAAGATTGTGATCCAGAAAGCTGGTCTGCTGCAGTGGCTGCGTGACACATGGGGAAGACCCTGATTCGAATCTTGCATATCCAACAACCTGTGGGCAAGCAGCTCTCTCTTACCTCACTGACTTGCTTTACAACGTAGGAAATCCACGCTGTGCTATTCAGGATCTAACTGAGGTGGGGGACAAGTAGAAAACCTTGTTTGAGATGGCAAAATACCTGAGATAACCCTGCTTTCCTCTACCAGGTAGGTTGCATTTGCAATTTGCTACAGTGTTCTGCATCGTGCAAACAGCAGGCTCACATTCTGTTCGCTGTCCCTGGTCCTCAGAAAGGGCGCAGCAGTGGGACCCAGCAAGCGTCTGATGCTGCATAACTGGTAAAACTAAGCTACTATGAACCTGGTTCACTGGATAAGAGACCACGGAAAGCCCCATCTTAGGGCAGAAAACTAATTTTTTTTTTCAGAAGTCCAGAGTGTAGCAACCTGTGCAAATTGAAAATGTATGAAATTCTTCCCAGTTAGTCCTTTAATATTATTAATTTTTTACTGGAGTCAAACACTACAGCCATTTTAAGATGAACTCTTTTTCTGAGCCATTACAGTCTGTTTACATAAGTTTAGGGCGACATATAGTCTGTTTACATAAATAATTTAGGGCAAAATTTACATATTCAGGTTCAGCCTTGATCAGTCCCTGATTGGTGACTAATAGATACTGACTGTAAATCGATTAATGATGCTGAAAACTGAATGGGGAAAGTAACTGTTTATAGCCTGCAACCCCATTGTTGTGATTATAATCAGGATTTTAATATAGGCATACATTCACTGTGGCTCTTCATTTATGGTGAACGGAATACCAAGATACAGAGTTGATAAGCACCCATACACACGGGAAGAGACAAAGAACATTTCTTTGGCGCAGTTTAACAAAACAACTTCAGATACCTTACTGTCAAGTTTGAGGATGACTCTCCCAAGCCCCTTGATCGGCCGCGGTGCAAGCGCCTCTTGGCGTTCTCTCACAAACTCTTTGAGGACATGCCACCAGCTGCTGCAGTGAATCCCAAGGAATTTCACTACTCCAAAGTGGACCACAAGGTTTTTGATAATCCACACTGCAATCAATCAAGAAGAGAGGAAGTGAGAATAATGGGAAATGGTCTGGTCTACAGTGAAGTAGGTTAAAATGGCAATGTTCCTCACCCCTCCCTCTCCAAACACACTGAATCACATCACAGGCTGAAAATAGTTTTGCTACTCTGAAACAAAAGGGTTTGTACACACACATACACACACACGATTTCAATTGAAGAGCTAAGCACATGCTTAAACCATTCCCCACTGAGAATTCAAAGTATTTATTTTTTGCTTGTTAGATTATATTCAGTGTTTATACTCTCTGGAGAAAACTGCTTTCTAAACATATAATGAAGCAGGATTTATTACTGGAATTCAGCAGCCTCAGTTCCATTAAGCGAAACAGTATTTGCTTGCAAGGTGTCACTCAAAAGACATTCAACGTGAAGTTCAGACTTTGCTGGGAAATGGGTGCACAGAAATATAAAGAGGCAGATATTAACACGAGTGTACTGACTTGGCTAGAATGAGTGAAAATAGCTCAACAAGAAGTCAAGTGAGCAACATGCTGGGCATGCAGATATGCCCTAAAACGATTTATCTGGCTTCAAACGTTAGTGGGAAATCAAGTAAAGTAACAGCTGTCTTAATCAGACTCTTTCTGTGAATATGCAGCCAAATGTTTTATTGCAAAACTAAAACTAAGCAATGTTTTCAAGAATTAGTTTTAAACACAAACAATGTGGCAACGTTTCATATACTTTAATGTGTTTAGTGAGGATAAATTATTATCACTAAATTATCAGTGTACAAATAATACATTCTTTCCATAAAAATTAGTTTCTTGCATTTTTTTTTCTTACTTTCAGATGACATAAGACATGTGTACAGCATTGTTTTCTTATACATAATGAAGACAAGTATACCTTAAAATTCCATAAATACGTCAAATATTAAAACGTAAGATGTTAACTAAGTTATAAATGCATTTTATCTTGTTAAAGCAGCAAAATATGTTTAGGCTTGATATATAAATAAGCACTGCACATATTTCAATATATCAGAATTTCTGGAAGTATTACATTTCAAGATAGGACAAAATAAATTCCTGGCATATAAAAAATTAGTGCAAAGCAAAAACTGAACAGTTTTGCAAAAGTGCATCAACAGGTACAGAAGGATGTGTGTCCATCCTTTATGACGGAGAACCACTGCAGTTTGGATATAATAGACTTCATCTACTTTGACCAAAGGCCATACAAACATGTTGATGAGAATTAAATTTTCCAAATATTAGATCTGGCAGTTGCTTTTGAAATAAACAAAGACTTCATGCAAATACCAGAAGTTCCAGGGCCCTCAACAGAGGGTACATGCAGCACTTCAGGGACTCTTTGGGGCCCGAAGGCATCATAAAACCCAGAGAACCTTGGCTGCCAGTTTAAACAGTGAGTGTTTCCAACTACATGATGAAGACTGTAACCTGAGTACACAGCCTGCGAGATTGCCAGGGCCAAAAATAAAGTTAGTCAGGAAACCCAATGTTTTTATAAAAGATAATAGACGTTTAAAAACCGGCATGCAAAGAAAAGGTACATTTGGGATTTGAACAGAATCACTTCTCTGCAAGCTGCTGGATCCCGCCCACCACTCAGGAGGCTCGCAGGGGTAGAAATAATTTAAAAGTTATCATCACAGTAATGGTAAGATATCCTTTCTGGGCCAGCCCTGGAAATGATGTCATGCCTTTCTAGGAATCAGTGGAAACTCAGTGGTAAAACCACAGAACCATGGTTCTATCACCAGCTATCTGTATTCACATGCTTTCTGATTTTAGCCGCTAATTAAATGCCAGGCAAATTTGCTAATAGAAATCTCTCTCTCTCTCTCTCTCTGACAAAAAAGGTCATGAGTTTAACATGAAATATTTTTTAAAAAACTGGCCTCTGTGGGTGTGCATTGGGGCTTGCCAGTACAGAGACTTCCGGGTTGTGACGGCTGAAGATACGTGGGGGGGCTTTGGGCCCCAGGCAGCAGGGAGATTTACTGCCTCGTCCTCATTCACGTAAACTGGAGCTCTCGGTTTGTTTTCAGAAGGCTTGGGTAGGATTTCCTGCTGGATGGAATATTTTTATGCACATTCGTTTTTAGGGCATTCCCTCCCCCAGATGACTGTATAATAAGAAAAATAATTATTGGGGCAGAATTAAATTCACATGTACAAAATACATAATCAAGAAGAGTCTCTCAAAAAAAATTATAAATTAAAAAAAGAAGAAGTGTCTCTCAAGACGTACGTGTGGGTAATAATTGACAGGTGCTAAATGCTTGCCCGTCCTGACTTAGGATAGCTCAGGCTAGCCCAATCTCAGAAGCTAAGCAGGGTCAGCCCTGGTCAGTATTTGGATGGGAGACCAGCAAGGAAGCCCAGGGTCGCATGCAGAGGCAGGCAGTGGCATACCACCTCTGTTAAGTCTCTTGCCCTGAAAACCCAGGGGGTTGCATAAGTCGGCTGCGACTTAACAGCACTTTCCACCACCGGTTATGCGTAGCTAACAGCTGTCTATGTGTCAAGGATCCAGAGCTGATTCCTTAAAAAGCTGTACCATTGTGGTTCTAGACCTTGGAATCCGCTAAAGGACTGTTAGCAACATGGTAACTTGCCCGGAACTGGTGGGACAGTGATGGTTAATTGGACGATGGAAGCCAGCTGTGTAGGAGGAGGAAAAGATTTACAAATGAGGATAGGGAAGTGGGTGCCCAGGAAGCAGAGCGGTACCAGATGATACAGAACAAAAGATGCTGCAGGGGTCTGAAAGATTCGTGCTTTCAGCTGAGCCCTCCAGCTCCCCCTTGGGTTCTACCCTGCAGTTTACCTGAGTCTGTCCTACCCCGGCACTGTATGCCAAAATGCACACCTCCCACTTCATTTGCCTCCAAAATTCTACTCTGCATCTCCTTTTCTTCACCTTAATTTTATTGCCTAATGCCTCATCTTGATACACAGGATTTCTGCCTGGAAAGATCTTTCCTACAAGCCTAAGGAATAGATCACAACTACTGCATCATGCTGGCGACGTTCCGTTCTCAGCTTCAGAGAAGGAAGAGAAATTGAGAATGGTTTTGAGTGGCGGGAAGAAGCATGAAAGGGCACTTGTCCTGAGAATGCCTGGGCCCTCCCAGAGTTATCCAAGCACAAAGTTCCAATCCTTCTATATGCTGATGATGCAGTGATCATGTCTACATCAATAGTGGCCCTCTGCAAGCTGATAAAAAATTTCAACCTCTACTGTTATCATGAGGGCTTGTCCATCAATGTGGCAAAATCCAAGGTCATAGTATTCACCAAAAGGAAAAAGGGGGAAATCTTCAAATGGGACATAGCAGGCCAACCTATGGAAGAGGTCAATCAATTTAAATATCTGGGAATGCACTTTGAAGCATCTCTTACACGGAAAACACACTTGGATCTAGCAAAGAACACAGCTTGGAGAGTAGGGAAGACAATTGTAAAATTCCTCATCAGGAGACCAATTTGTCCCCTTGGCCTTAAAGGTATGTAATGCTAAGGTTCTAAATTAATTCCTGTATGGTGTGGAAATTTGGATTCAGGCCGCTTCTGAAAAAATGGATTCCACCCAGTATGACTTTTTCCGACACTTATTGGCTACTCCTAGATGTGTCCCGGGCACAGCACTGAGAGTGGAACTAGGTGAATTATCGATGGAAGCGAGGGCTTGGATTAAAGCATTTTTCTTTAAAGTAAAGGTTTTAAAATCTGAGGGAGGATCTACTCTACTTGGGCTTATCCAGGCAGATACGCATTACAGCCAATGGGATCAAGTATTGAAAAAGAAAATGAAATGCCTAGGAATGATAATGATTTAAAATACAGAAACTTAAAGACATTAGAAGACAAATTAAAAAATCTGCAAGGAAATTGGATGTTACAAGTATGTCTATTAGGGCGCGCATGGTATGTTCGACACTTCATTTGCGAATTGCCCTCCCGATGCAACTGCCAAAATATTTTTTATCAACTGACAGTCCCAGAACTAACAGCTTTTACTTTGGCAAGACTGAATGTTCTTCCCTCGGCAGTTTTGGAGAGAGGATATATTAAAGTATCACACTCTAATAGAACAAGCAGATGTTCATATCATACAATCGAAACCACTGAACATATGATTATGGAGTGCCCTATATTCAATGAGTTGAGGGCTAATTTAGTCACCCCTTTACTTAAAGATATGGAACTGCTAAATGTGCGAGCCCAGGTGTCATGGCTACTGTCAGATACAAGTGATCGTGTCACCCTCTCAAGGGCAAATTTCATAGGTGCAATAATCTCTCTATATTATAAAGTTGCTTTGGGGTGGCAGGATTCCATTCATGCCAAAATCAGTTCGGTGCAAGAGCTGCCACTCACAATGGAGACTGTGGCCACTGGCTGCCTTCTCTGACTCCTGCCCACCCGCTGAGTCAGTTGGCGCCCTGAGCCACCACTCAAAAGACGCTGCCGCCGTTGGCTGGGTGCGTGGCGGGGTCCCACCCATAGAAGCCCTGGCCAGCCTCTCGCCCTCAGTCGGCACAGAGACGGCGAGGCAACCATGTCTTTACTCCCTATGTGCCAAATGGCAGCGGGGAGGCGGGAGGACAGCCCGGCTGGCCTCACCGCGCCCTGCTGTTGCGTGCCTTTCTAGAGGCCATTACATTGTTCCTCTAACGGGCCTTGCTCCTAGTCAAATATAAGAGAAATAATACTGAGAAAGGCCTTTTAAAATATTTTCTTTGGTTCTAATTTCTGCTTAAGGTGATAGCCGTATGAGCACTACTATATAGATAGAGATAGAATACCTGGACTTATCTGCATGATAGATTTTCACAATCATTACCAGATTTCACCAGAGGAACTCATTAATGTCCACCGTTTTTTTAAATTATTATTTATAGTTTTATTAAATTTCTATAAGTAATTGATGCTTGTTGTAGTGAGTAGCGAGGGTCACTATGCTGAGGCAGGCAAGGGCAAACCACCTCTGAATGTCTCTTGCCTTAGAAACCCTACGGGGTGGCCACAAGTCAGCTGTGACTTGACAGTACTCCACCCCCACCAAATGCACCCCCACAGAAAATCCACTGTAAGTCCACCATCAAAAGGACAGGCAAGACTATGTCCTATTTTGAAATGCATGTTCATCAGAAGAATGCAGACTGGAAGACAATCAAATGAATTTTCAAGTGGTAAATTCCAATTCCCAGACAATAATCAAAATGCACTGTAGGAAGTTCCAGCTCTCTCCCAGATAATCTAAGTCCAAGCTTTTTAAGACTCACTTCATTCTCCTTAACATTCCTAAAAAAAACACCTCTTCATTGTCTACTGGAAATTAATTATCTATTTTATTTATTTTATTTTTATATCACCTTTCTACCCAATCTGGGACCACACGGCGACACACATAAAAACATCTGAAAAACTGAAAACCTTTAAAATCATAAAAGAATTCAGTTAAAACACACAAAGTACTGCAGTCTTCTGTTCTGCTTAAGAAAACAAAAAATGTAAGAAAACAATGAATAACCTGCGACAGGAATCGGCAGCAACTGAATTATCCAGAGATTTGACCAGATCTGGACGATCACAATGGCCCACATGAGCAGCACGAAATAGATGTCGCTCGTCTTCTTCTTTTTAAGAAGAGCTCCAATCTCGGGCCTCTGCCTGCCGCTCGCAGTCGAGGGAGACGGGGAAGAAGCCGACGAAGCCGGATTGCCACTGTCTGGGGTTCCTAGAAAGAGAACACATTCTCTCTTATATGTTCTATGGGAAATATTTCCTGGTGAACTAAGAGAAGCATTGATGAAATCTGGTGCTGAGAAGAACATCAGCGCTCAGAACCGCTTTTAGGATGGTCGTAGCAGTGAAAAGCCCCGTGTGCCTTCCCCACTCTTCCGTGTTCTTCCTGTACTGTTTGTGCAAACGGTTACCTGTTTAGCAGCTCGTCCCCATTCCTCCTGTTAAGTACATCAGCAGAACTTAAGCCCAAGCAAAAAGAAACTGAAGCTAAAACTGTGTATGGTTTGCTACTATGAAAGTTCTCAGGGAACACCTGCTTTAGTCAAAAAACAGGAAATGATGTGTGCTGTCGAAAAATTCAACAGGATTCAACACTTGGCTACAGACTACTTTTAACCAAAGCGTGATACAGCACCTGGCAATCCCAACATTTCATATTAAAGTTTCGGTCCTAGTTGCTCATCTGTAAGGAAGCTTATCTATCATGCCGGATCACACCCAAATAACATTTCCAAGCAGTCTGCAAACCGAAAATGGAAAACATGGTGTGAAATTTATTTACCTCTCCCCGTTTTTATCTCTCCTTTCCATCCAATTAAGACTCTTAAGGCAGTGAACAGGTCTCAAAAACATTAAAACAAACTGTAAAAAGCTATGGTTTTGCACACCATCATCTGGACCTATTTGAACTGACAGGCCAGAGCTCGTAAGCTTCATCTCCAGAGGTCACTGTGCTTAAAGACTAGGGAAGGGGTCCCCAACCTTTTTGATCCTGCAGGAGCCTTTGGAATTTTAATACAGGGTGGCAGGAACAGCCAGAAAATGGCCACCACCGCAGGCACAGCCCCCCCGCCCCCAGAGTACAGGGGGAAAGAGAGAGAATTTTAAAACAGACACTGGAAAAGAGACATGAAAGAGAATAAAAAAACTCTATGGTGGCAGCTACCGCTAAGACAATGTTCTTTTAACCTGCCCAGCCAGGCAAGTGCCTAGCACTTTCTAAAAACACTTGGTGGGCACCGGGGAAGGGGGTTGGCAGGCACCAGGGGACACCACAATGGGGACCCCACTCGAATATGAAGACGGAAAACTGAGGCAGACCCAACCGTCTTTACACTGAAGTTTGCCTGAACATCTGTAAACTCAAATCATGGAGCAGGATTTATCTACAGTTCACACAAATCATGACTTTATATGATGTCTGAATTAAGCCCCACAGATTTTAATTATACTACATGGTCTTTGGTACTCCTGGTATTAATTTGTAGAATACACCACAAAGTTCCACAATAAAAATATGTTTTAAAAACTGGACAGTTCAGAAAGAAAAATGTTTCTGGGATTTCACAGATTAAATGACATTCTATGAAACGATGAGAGTTTATTGCCTGCAAATGGCTGCATAAAACAGAGGTAAGCATCAAAATCCAGTACCTTGAAATGATATCCCCCCTCTTAAAATTCAACAAAGCTTACCAGCGTCAGCACCCGCTGAAGACCCGCTGGTGAGTAAGCCGCCTAGATGAAGTGTATAATCATCCATCTAGATGATGACCAGAAACTTCACTAAAATGTTATTCTTTCAGTCTGGCAGTCAGTCATTTCAAATGGGGCTGAACTTACTTGGAAAATATTTTTCATCATGCTCCATTACTTCCTAAAGTAATTACTCATTTAACACGACAGCTTAGAATGGAACTTACAGAAGCTATAATTGGTAACAGTAATAAAAGAGTCTCGGGGCATCTTAAAGCCTAACACGGATATTACAGCACAAGTTTTTTGTGAGCAGAGAGGTTTATATCCAAGGCTATAAACGGGAGAGGGGGTGGGGGGGGGGGGGGGAGCTGCTTCACACAGGCCAGAAGGTCCAGTTCCCAGGACAAGGTGTGCTGCAACACACTCAATGGTTCAATCATTTTATTGCTCATAGACCAATAGGTCATAAGTAAATATATAAAATATATTACATACAATGGAGTACAACATACATTATAATTTACAATTTACAGTTTCACGAAGTTGCAGATTAGTTTACTGAATACACATTAATTACCTAAAGAGGGCAGAGTCAGTTCATTTAATTCCACCCAAGGTTACAGATAAAATTTTTGCCACTACCACCGTCAAATTTGGATCAATATCAGCTAAGAGATTAGCTACAAGTTCCTGATTAGTAACAGGGCTCCATTTTTGACTGTACACTGAGATCCATCTGTCGCGAGCAATATTGTATTTCCTACAATCAATGAAAAAGTGCCAAATTGTGTCCAAATCGCCTGAATTACAATTACAAAGTCGTTCAGAAAAAGGGGTCCCTAGAAATCTACTCGTTAGTTCCCCAAGGGGCAAAGCATTTAATTTTGCCTTGGAAAACAATATTCTATATTTGGGGACTGTCAAAGATTTACAATAAGATGGCAAAGATTCCGGGACTGGAAGACCTAAATAATACAGAGAACAGACTCTTCAGGCTCAGCAAATTGTATTCCATTTGTCCATGTGTAACACACTAGATTTAATATACTTCTGCGCAGGCAAACGCATCTCCTGGACGTCCCAGGGATGCAATCTGCACACCAGCGTGTAGGAGGGGTGTGACGGGTTGCGACCCTCCCAGAGCCTTGGTAAAAGGCTCCTAGCCAGGGGGCTTTTGAGGGGCGACCTCTTCGCCGGCGCGATGCTGGAGAATTGAGGCGCTCCTCCGGCCCGAAGGTCCTGCCGCTGAGTGTACGTATGGAATTAGTGTGGCTGACTGAGACAAGCGTCGGAGATCGGGCAAGAAAAACTGATGCCGAGCGTGGCCAGATGGCTGGCAACAAACTGTGAGTCGGGTTGAAGCGAGCATGAAGATTTAAAAAGAAAGCTGCCCCCCTTAACGAGCGACAAAAAGCGAGCGGGGGAGGGGCCCCTCTCAAACGCATGAATGAAAACACGGGGATAAAGAGGGGGGAGCGGAAGAATAAGCGTCAAAAATCTGTTTTAAGAGATTTACCAGAGCGCAGATAAGCGTATGGGCGAATATCAGAGACTTTAGCAACTTTTAGAAAAGTAAATAATTCAAAAAGATGGCGGGGAAGAAACCAGATAAGGAAAAACTGTTGAAAGCGGAACTAGAAGAAGAAGAAGAAGAAGAAGAGAAGAGATTGGATTTATACCCCGCCCTTCACTTGGAGTCTCAGAGCGGCTTACAAACTCCTTTCCCTTCCCCTCCCCACAACAGACACCCTGTGAGGTGGGTGGGGCTGAGAGAACTCTGGCACAAACTGCTCTTTTTCAAGGACAGCTGTGCCAGAGCTTGTGATTGACCCAAGGTCACATCAGCAGGTGCAAGTGGAGGAGTGGGGAATCAAACCCGGTTCTCCCAGATTAGAGTCCGCACACTTAACCACTACACCAAACTGGCTCTCAAAGTGGGCAGTCCTCAAACTGAAGAGACCACTGAGCTTTCCAAAATGTTGGCAGATTCCTTGCGCCCTCTGCTGGATGAGATGACTAACATCAAGCAACAATTGTCAACAATTGGTCAGAGTTTGGCTTCACAGCAGCTGCAACTGACTAAATCTTTAAAAGCAACAGAGGAAATGGCAGAGAAGGTGAAAGAAATGGATGCCAATACTAAAAAAGTCAAGAAAAAGGTGCAAAAGCTGGAAATGAAACAAGCTACAGAAGAGTCACAACTTTTACAGCTGCAAATGGAGAAAGCAAATTTGGTCCTACGGTTCCAAAGGGTCCTGGAAACTAAAGCAACTGTTGAGTGAAGCAATAGCCCCAATGACAGATTTGACAGCGGAATATCTTTACAGTGAGATGGATGTGGTCTACAGGTCCTATTCCTTATACATCAAGAAAAATAATCTGCCTGGGGAAATAGTAGTCAGATTCTCGAAGAGACATGTGAGAGACTCTATTTTGAAAGCGATTACGAGAACACCCTTAAAAATCTGGGACAACAACATCAGGATTTTAAAAGATATCCCATTTGAAATAAGACAGAAGAGAAAGAAATATAAAGATTTAATCCTTTTTTTACAAACAAAGGGCATCAGTTACAGATGGTTAATTCCAGAAGCCGTCATTTTCAAGCTCCACTATATTATTTATTTATTTGACTTATATCCCGCCCTTCCACAGGGGCTCAGGGCGGCTGACAGGAGGCAATTGCCATACATAACAATAAAAACCAGATAAAACAATCATTTACATTTACATTTAAAATCGGTGCTCGCAAACCAACATCCAAGATGGGGTCTCCAATACAATGTTTCAAAATTCTACTAGCTCTACTTGATCAGTCTGTGTTATGTCCATTCTTCAGTTCCAGGGCTAGCTCGCATTGCCAAAATTGGCCGAAAAAAAGATAAAAAAGAAAATATTGACTCTGTTCCTAAAGCACGTGAGTTTCTGAGAACACAACTGGGGGAACCAGCGGAGAACAAGAAGGAAGAAGAAGAAAGCAAATCTGATGGCGAGTTAGGCTCGGTGTCTTCTGACGAGGACTCTTTCTCTGAAAAGGGGGCGGCAGCCCCCAAAAGTCCATATAAATTGAGGATAAGAAAAGATATGAGAAAATAAAGGCTTGAAGGACTCTGAATTGTGCCTGAAAATCTAGAAATAACTTTGGGATGCTCTGAGGGTTTCATTAAACAGATAAATGGATGGTTAAAAGATAAATAATCTAGCATAACCGATATGTTCAATGTATTTTTAGCATTTTAGATTAACATTGAGATAAGCTGATGTATTGGTCTCCCACTCTTGGGGTTTTAGTTATTAGTGGGTTTCTTTTCTTTCTCCTTAGATGTAGTTCCCCCTTCCTATATTTTCAGTTATAGTCTGTAGTCTTGGGGAAAAAACCAATAAAAAATTCCCCTTAGGGGGACTAAAAATATATATATACTTCTGCGCAGAAGGATAATCTATTTGATTGAAGAATTCAAGGGAAAATCCTAAACTTGTAATTTGCCACCAACCATTTGCAGCCATAAACTTCAAAAGCTATCCTCAGCTAAGAGGTGCAAATAACAACCCTCTGAGGAATAGAGAATTTTTAGCCTAAAGAAAAATGTTGCCATCCAAGCCTTGGCTTTTAAAGACTGTTCAGCGAATTCCATACGAATAGCTGGGCCAGAAATACATAAGGGGAAATTAGACAGGGAAGGAACGAAGAAAAGAGATTAAACAAAAATCAAACCTGTCATTGACTCTAGTAATAAATGAAGGAGTACCATAGAGTAATTGCGAAACCACCTTTGTATGATAAGCACGAACGGCAGCAGGTTAAAAGTTACCGCCCATAGTTCAAAAATTTTTTTAAGAGGGCAGATGAATGTATTGATGCCAGCTTTTTAGCAGCAGTCATGTGAGTCTTCCAGGACAGGTTATAAGTAACGGAAGGTATTAACTTGTTCAATCGGCTGGCCGTTTATAAAGTGGGCCTTCTGGCTCCTTTTTGTAGTAACTCCTGCCCGATGTGCCATTTGAAGCTCTGGGTAAAAACCTCTCTGTCAACAGCATGTAATGTTTCACGCATCGGCCGAAGGGGGCTCTGGCTCACCAAAGCAACAGCGGTAATACAGGCGTCAGCCATTCAAGAAAAACGGCAAGGCAGTACACCGTTAGAAAAGACAACTACTTTGGGTTTGGAATAATTTATATCCAATAGCTCCTGTGAACAGTATGAAATTGGAATTGGGTGACATTGGTGGTTTTAAGTTGTTATGTAAACCTTAAGGGAGTTATGGGACAGTTGTGAATGGAGTGTGAGTGTATATGAATATTGTTGTAAATCACCGAAATGATTGCATCTTTAATTTCGTTGTACTATGTACAATGACAATAAAGTATATTATTATTATTATTATTAGAATACAAAAGCATTCAGCAACCGTTTCAGCCCTTCATATGGCCGAGACATCAGTACGGCATTGTCGGCATAAAATAAGTTTGATATGGGTTTTTGGGATAGGTGGGGAGGATGGAAAAGTTCACCAGAAAGATGGTTTTCAATGTCATTTATATAGAGGTTAAATAAATAAGGCGCCAATAGGCAGCCCTGACGAACACCTCTATTAATTTTAATCATCTTAGACAGCTGGCCTTTACTCCCACACCTCACCTGTGCAGTGTTGTTTTGATAAAACTTATGAATTAGCCAAAGTAGTCGACAATCCATATCGGTTCTTGCAAGTTTTCCCCACAATCTGGCAAGAGGAATTGCATCAAAAGCCCTTTTCAAATCAATGAAGGCAACACATAGTTTACCTCCCGGAGGACTAATATACTTTTCAATCAGATGGGTGAGTACTACACAATGGGAAATGGCAGAAGCCTGGCTCTTACAACCAACCTGAGAGGCCATAAGGACTTGTTGTTTCTCCAAGAGCCAAGTCCGTAATTTAGTCAGCAAACAGGAGTTAAATAATTTACCCACACAAGAAAGCAGACTAATTGGTCTATAGTTGTCAGGTTTAGAATAATTGCCTTTTTTATATATCGGAATGACTATTAAGTTTAACCATGAGTTTGGTATAAAACCAGAGTGGCAAACGTGAGTTTAAAAAAAGGGAGCCAAGATCTTACTCTAGCCTGGGATGTTACTCTTGAAAAGTTCATTTACTATATAATCAGGGTCACTCCAAAGCGAGAAATTTTTAGCAGGAATCCTATCGGTTATGCAGGCATACCCAGAAACTGAGAAGACTGCGCTCTTGCTCTCAGATAATGATGCTTATCGATCCTATAGCATTTCCCTGTTTGCTTTAGCGGCAGCTAAGATTAGATCTAAGGGGCAGGCTACCTGATGGTGATTAAACCTGTTACATCTTTCTTTTTATTACTGATTAGTAGCTAATTTTAACCCGGATATTAACAGTGCTTTTTAAGTTTTTATGATTGCTCTGCTGTATTCCATATTTTGTAATAGCCAATGGCTTAATACAATAAACCGTGTGTGTGTGTGTGTGTGTGTGTGTGTGTGTGTGTGTGTGTGTGTAAAATCAGGGCCAGGTGCTTTACCAGTTTTGAGCTCGGTGATATGGCTAGCTATTTCTTTCTCCATTATTGGAGGCTGTTGCAACACACTGTAGAGCAGTGTTCCCTCTAAGCTGAGTTAGTGTGAGCTAGCTCACAGTTTTTTAGCCTCCAGCTCCCACATTTTTGTCTCGGCTCAGGAAGGATGGCTCTGGGGCAAACTAATGTATGCAGGAGCCAAATCGCTTGCTCACAACTTTAATGCCAGTAGCTCACAAAGGAGAATTTTTGCTCACAAGTCTCCACAGCTTAGAGGGAGCACTGCTGTAGAACACAGCTGAAAATGAGATCCACTCAATGCACCAACAGTAGGAAGGAGTCCTTGACCATTCTGAGGAATCATTTAACTCTTTTGACTGGATCCTGTTTTCCTCTATGCTCTGCATCCTGGAAAAGTGGGCCTTCTGGCTCCTTTTTGTAGTAACTCCTGCCCGCTGTGCCATTTGAAGCTCTGGGTAAAAACCTCTCTGCCAACGGCATGTAATGCTTCACACATCGGCCGAAGGGGGCTCTGGCTCACCAAAGCATCAGTGGTAATACAGGCGTCAGCCTATCAAGAATCACAAGGCTCGCATGAACCTGGCCTTGTACTGAATCAGGCCATTAGCCCATCAAGTTCTGTACTGTCTACTCAGCCCGGTAGGGGCTCTCCAGGGTCCCAGGGGCTGAGGTCTTTCCCGTCCACTCCTGCCTGGTCCTTTGAACTGGAGATGCCGGGGATTGAACCTGGGACCTTCTGCACGCAAAGCAGGTGCTCTGCCACTGAGCCACAGTCCCTCCCCTTTTGTCACTTTGGTTGCAGCAGAGTAGCATGGCTACCACTCTGGAATTTACTGCTGATACTATTTATTCCAGTCTGCCATACCCGTTCCTGAATCTCTTATCTTTGCGAGAAAGAAAAACCACTTAAATGCATTCGATGAAGGGGAAAAGGTCTACCCACACAGCCAGAACACAGACTGCAAAACGGCTTTCAGGAAGTCGTTAAAGCACCCTGGATCCACCAACAATCCCACTAAAGTAAATTCCGAGAGCACACAAAAGCATGCAAACCGGACTGGAAAATGTCTTGTCTTCTTACAGAGTGTTCAGTCACCTGAGGGCTGCAATGGATGCTCGTCATTACTGGAGTCGTAGCCTGTAACCGACATCGCCATGGCAATCGTGGACGCGGCAATGGAAAGCATCTGGCCAGGAAATTCCGACCCTTAAAAACAAATGTGTCAATCTATGGTAAATAAAAAGCCAGGGAGACACTCTGTGGTATTTTAATAGCTGGTTTGTGCTGGTTGCTCTCCCGGTGAAATGATAGTCCAGTTCCACAGCTACAGAGCATGGCTGTAGTTACATACGAGACACAGGCATCTCATTTCGTCCACTGGGATTTACTTTAAAAATCTGGCATCAAATATTTCCTATAAATAAAGACAAAGCATTGACTATTTTGACACTATTTCATCTGTGAACACCACTAGAAAATAACAGCAATTGAATCCTCTCCACGAACAGTAGAAACCTCCTCTGGTACCAGAACCCTCCACTAATCCAAGACCTTCTTGCACCAGAGGAAAGCCGCAGCGCTAAGAGAACAGATCCACAGGGTGTATTCCAGCTAGGATTGTGAGCTGAATTTCCCACAAAATATTTACAGAGGAGACTTCATTTAAAGTGAAATGCATCTGTTATCTGAAGTGAATTTATCCATACGATCCATCACAGTAAAATGCAGAAGCCAAAGAATATACAAAATAAAAATCCAAAAAGTCCAACACTTTTCCTAGGTAATTTTCCCAGTGTTTCAGACCTTTGGTCCTTCCTCAGGAACAAAGAACAACTACTGAGAGTCTCATTCCATCTCCTTATAAGTGTCAGAGTCGTTAGCCAGGTCACACCACACCGGGCTTCATAAGAAGATAAGTGTTTATTGATGGATCCAGTACTAATGATCATGTATACAGCTTGTGTCAGGAATAGCCATCAGTATAAGGGCCTCTGACTTATAGTGAAATCAAATATCCCCCCCCCCCAATGAGCTGAAGCCAATGAGTATGTTTCACGCATGTGGCAAAAGCAAGCGGGCAAAGCAGAAAGCCGTTACGTTCCCAGCCAAGTAAATGCAGCTGGAGACTACAAGGTCAGGCCTGAGATAGCACAACAGTAGCTGGAAAAGGAAGAGCTGAGGAGGGCACCCCTCCAGACCCATGACAGGGCTACCTGACAATAAGATAATGCTTTTCTATCACTTCAACATTGGGCAAGGTCTCCTTAGCGCTAACCAGCACCCCTAAAGGCTGCTTCAATGTATCAGGACCAAAACACGGAGGCATGTTTTGGTCCTGATACAGTGTCTTATAAGGAGATGGAATGCGACTCTCAGCAGTTGTTCTTTATTCCTGAGGAAGGACCAAAGGTCTGAAACACTGGGAAAATTACCTAGGAAAAGTTGACTTTTTGGATATTTATTTTGTATATTAATTCTTTGGCTTCTGCATTTTTCTATGATGGATTGTATAGATAAATTTACTTCAGATAAGAGATGCATTTCGCTTTAAATGAAGCCTCCTCCGTGAAGATTCTGCGGGAAATTCAGCTCACAGTTGTTTTTTGTGATTCTTTGTTACTTATCACTGTGTGCTGGACTTTTGTTGTTGTATGCTTCAGGTAGGGTTGCCCGTTGTGGGGCGGGAATTCCTGGAGATGTGAAGGTGGAGCCTGGGGAGGGAAGGAACCTCAGCAGGAGATGACGCCACGGATCCCACCCTCTGAAGCCGCCGTTTTCTCCAGGGAAACAGATTCCTGTAGTCTGGAAATCAGCTGCAACTTCAGGAGATCTCCAGACCCCACCTGGAAGTTGGTAACCAGGAGTTCTCACACTTTTAAAAAAAAAACTGGGACCCACTTCTGAACTTACTCAAATTTACTTCTGAGACCCAGTGCCACAGCCAGGGAGTCAGCTCAAATCTGGTGGCTGTAGGTCCCGAGACCCAGGCACCCACGGGGAGTGACGGCTCTGGACCTTCCGAGGCACTGGTTCTCCCCATCGCCTCCTGTACTGCCAGGGGCTGGGAGACAGCCAAGCCCCTGGGAATGAATGAGACCACGGCACTCAGCAGGGGAGGAGGGCTAGCGAATGCAACAGCTCTGCCCTGCCCTTTCTCCTCCTGCCCAGAGCCTCCCCTCTGCAGCTCAAGCGTCAGGTCCCCGCGCCCCACCTGCAAGAGAGGGGCATCACCCAAAGCTTTAAGAAATCTAACTGGTGAATCTGCAGTGGGCGGTTCCTGCTCAGACATCTGCCCATTGCTACATCACTACATGTCTTCATCTGATACCATTTCTAGGAAATTCTGATTCAAACCAGAGTAGGGGCTCAAGAGGCAGACGTGGAGAGAGCTAACAGGCATGGCCGCTCCCCTTAAGGTACAGGGAGCAAAAAGGAACTTCGCTGCCATCTCCTCCTGAACTTCGCTGCCATCTCCTCCAAACCAGCCCTCTTTCAGATTAACCATTTCCAGGGAATTAGCAGGTCTTGCGGTGCCACTAAGCTGAGTGGAACCACCCCACAGTCTCCAACCAGAAGGATCTCAGGCTGCAGGGCTCAAAAGAGTGACGGAGTCACCAGTGGGCTGCATGAACCAGGGGTCTGACTCAGGTGTAAGGCCACACTTTCAAAAGCACTGCGCTCCCCTCCCTTAGAGCTCTGACGAAGGCTACGGTTTATGGACGAAGAGCAACCGGAACTACACCTGTATCCCAGAACTGCTGTTCATCACCAGTCATTCAATTTACTGATCCCCAGTGTGCATCAGGACTTTGAAGCGACTTCAGGTGGAAGCCAAGAGTGCCTGGCATACCTGAACAAGCCACACTGAAGCACAGAACACAATTACACATGATTCTGAAAAAGCCACCTTCAATGGAATCACAAGAGAAACCCGTTTCTTACCTGAAGGGCCTTTCCCACACAGCTGTTCATGAACCATGCCTACAGTCATCAAGACAACGATGACCAGAAACACTGGAATCCTCCAAGACCCTGCTGCAGAAGCTGGGGGGGGGGGGGGGGGGGAATAGTGGTTTTACATT